TTAAAGGTTTACCCAGTGTCACATTTTTTATACTTAGTTTAAATATTTTTTGCTTACTAAATATTTAGTTGCATCAGTGTAAAGTCTCCATTTTTCACCATGACTCAGCATAATCTCTAATTGGGGGCTCGTCCGGGATTGAAACCAAACATGCTTCTTTTACTGCCCCTGAAGGACTCATCATAATGATAATTGTCTATTTCAAGAGTGATCGTGTAAAATATAACTTGTGTACAACTTAACAATATGGATACCGAACACAACCCAGTTACCGCAGCAGTTGAGTCCCAGTGAAACCAGTTCAGAGAGTCAGGGCTGTGTGCAGGAGAAGCTGCTTTGAATGGATGTGATGCAGGTTTTAGTCAGATTGTTTTCAGCCAACAAACAGCGCCCCCTGCTGGAGTTAAGTTGATATGTGTTTACAATATTGTGTCTGCAGCAGTGAGTTTAAAGTTCATCACAACTAAACCATCTCTGTCTCTGTTGGACGGCGTGAATAAAATCAGATATCTTTATAGAATGATGGATTTCATATTGATCTTCTGTTTATAGCCTTTTTTTAAAATAAGGGGCAACATTAAACAGAAAAGATACTTCAGCAATTTTTTCTTCACAAAAGTAATTTTTTAAAGAGTTGGAATTGTGTGACTCTTATAAAGCCAGAAAGTTTCTTGATTTAAACATTTTCGGGCCTCCTGAGGTGAAAATCCAGATTTTTCCTGAGTGATTCAGGCTCAGATGCTTCTCATGTCTCCTGCAGGAAACGGAGTCTAAACCTTCACTTCCTGTTTGATCAGCCAGGAATCAGCAAACATCTGATCGTATCTAATGTGGCCATAAACCTCCACTTACTGACAAGAAGATCAGCACAACCCAGACCAGCTGATAGTGCCGATAAGCAGCGATCAATATTCCAGAAATAATCTAGGAATGCAGAATTAGATTACATTTCTTATCCTGTAGCTGGTTCTGATCTGCAGGACTTCAGAACCGGATCATTTTCAGACCAGAGTGCAGCTGGTCTCCTTCTTTAAATCTAATAAATTTAGTGACAAATATTTGTGCCTTGTTACCTTTTTATTAATATCTTTAACCTGTCATTCACGAGAGGACCCAAATTTGGGTCCTCTAGTGACAGGGGTGTCAAACTCCAGACCTCAAGGGCCTCTGTCCTGCAACTTTTAGATGTGCCTCTGCTGCACCACACCTGAAAAGAATAATTAGGTCATTAGCAAGGCTCAGGAGAACCGATCTACACAGGGAGGAGGTAATTAAGCCATTTCATTCCACTGGTTTTTACCTGTGGCACATCTAAACACTGCAGGACAGCAGAGGACTGGAGTTTGACACCCCTGTTTGTGAATGACAGGTTAAAATTTGTGCTGCACAAACCAAAACGCTTGACGCCAATTTCTCTAGATTAGTTTAAGGTGGAGCTCTAACTCCCCTCAGGAGGATTTCTGGGTTTAAGTCTTGATAACAAGCACAATTTGTTCCCATTTATTGATTTTAATTAAAATCATCTGAAATAAACAGTCTGACTGGACTTGAACCAAAATGTGGTTCCTAATCGTGGTTTCCTCTGAACCGTTCTGCCTGCTGCAGCCTCCCGTCTACTCAGAACTTCAGGTTTCTGTTGCTCTGTGCTGAAATGTCAGTTTCCCCCCTGAAGGACTGACAAAGTTCTTCTTCATAACTAATTGTTCCTGACTTTACTGCAGATCTGCTAGTAATGTAATTAACCTGCAGGACTGTCTGGTTTAAGGCCGTCCAGCGCAGCTCCAGACCTGTGATGGTGGTGAAGTGTGACGGCGACGTCATGGTCATCATGGGGGGGGTGACGTATTTGGCCTTGACCCCGTCCCAGGCCATTCGGTCCAGGTGCGGCGTGTCCACGTCCCGGTCGTAGTCCCACCTGAACCCGTCGAACGACACCAGCAGCAGCTTAGTCTTCTTCTCCTCCCTGCTGCTCAGCGGCTTCCCGCCGACGCCGCTCGCCGCCATCAGCACGAGGAAGATCTCCAGCCTCATCTTCAGCCTCACTGCAACTGCCTGGCGCTCGGCCGGTCCTCACCTGTGCAGGTGGCCCTGGTTAATGAGTAGTAGCAGTTCCTGATACAGATCTGCTGATGGAGGAGCAGACCTTCAACTGTGAACTAATGGGTCTTATCGGGACTGACTTTAATGATTAGGTGGACTTTGAAAGCTGCTCCTTGGTGTTTATAAGTCTGGACCAATCAGATCCATAAAACTGATATTCTGATCAATAATAATACCAGAGAACTTGAAGATGTGACCTGTGATGGACTGACCTGTCTCCAGTCACATGAGGAAAACACAGAGAATAAAAATTTCTTGCAGTAAATTTTCCACTTCAAGTTTTTATAAAACAATATTTTATCCATTTACTCTCAAATATCACCTCAGAAGCTCTTAATTTGCTCCATTTATGCTAAAAAGAGATATAAGCTTTAACAGCTTTGATATTAACTTGAGTTGATCTCACGAGCCTTTTAAGAAAATTAAGCCTTTATTTTGAAATTACGTCTTTTATTTTGTCGTTAAACCCACCGGACGTGCTTCTTTACCCTTTGAAGGACATCCTGTCATTCGCGCTGTAGCGTGATATCCTTCATTTAAGTGTTAAATGAAATGTTTTTATCAGGTTCTGGATTCTAAGTAGTGTTCGGTTCGGACGGGTTGTTCCGAATCATCTGAGCAGATTTGTAGCTTTAGATGAAGAAAGCGTCGGAGGTCCGCACCGGAAAGCTAACAGAGGTTAGCTTAACCAGATTCCATGAAGATAAATGTGTTTTTACCTGATAAAATGCTCCAGAGGAGACTTTAGAAAATAACTTAATTTAAATTCTGTAGGTGTTTCTTCATAATTCGGCATGTGTAAACTGAGATAAATTTTGAGATATATAGCCATGACATGAGGCAATGAATCCAAGCAGGAATAATCTGACTCCACCGCTAATGATTCTGGTTCTGTACCGACCTTAAAATGAGCTTTGGTGAAATCTGAAATAATTATATCGGCCAGATTTATTCTATTATGGATAAATATTTCTGAAGGGAGAATTTGAGATGAGGAATGTCAGGATAATAGAACTTCAGGATCATTTCAGCACCCAGAGGAGCTTGGATGATTTAATCCTGTGTTGCTTGGATTTGTCTTTGATTTGATCCCGGTCCTGAGTTTATGATGTTTTTAGTTTCAGGAATGTCGTCCCTCTGGAGCCTCAGACCGGCGCTGGAGATGCTGATTCACGGTGAGTTTCCTCCTGCAGATGAAAAGGTTTTTCTGTTCTGGACGGAAACATCTGAGGAAACTGAAACAATATCCACAGAAAAATGCTGGAATATTTTCCCTGTGGTGTTTGTGATGAATTCAGCTAAAGCATGGATCATTTTTCTGGGTTAAACATGAGCAGCTCTTTCTGCTCTGTGTGTCTGCAGCGACCCGGGTCTCCTCCTCCTGGACCGGGCCGCTCCTCTCCAGAACCATGGCCACTCTCAACCAGATGCACCGCCAGGGGAAGCCCAAGGTTCCCCCTAAAGCTCTGGGCGCCACGTTCGGCCGGCCGCAGCTCAAAGCCGTCATCCTGAAGACGATGATCCGGAAGCCCAAGAAGCCCAACTCGGCCAACAGGAAGTGCGCCCACGTGCGGCTTTCCAACGGGAAGGAGGCGGTGGTGTTCATCCCCGGGGAGGGACACAACCTGCAGGAGCACAACGTGGTTCTGGTGCAGGGGGGCAAAACCCAGGACCTGCCCGGAGTCAAACTCACTGTGGTTCGAGGAAAATATGACTGTGCTCATGTGGTGAAGAAGAAGCAGTAGCTGAGGCTCACACTGTTGCTGGTTTCATGTGTTTGATTATAGATGATCAATAAAAACTGTTTGGTTCCAAACTTGAGTTGATTTTGCCTGAAACTGAACAAGAATCAATTTGCTATTAATAATGAAAGTTTGTCAGCTGGAAAGATTCAGACTACATAGAAACACACACACACAAACACACACATATTTGTTTTAATTAATGTTATAGAAACAGATCTGCTCCAAAGTGCAAAATACAAACAAAATAAGAATAATGTTGAAGTTGTAGCTCAAAACACAACTCAATCAAAAGCTAGTGATGAATTTCTTAAACTGATCAAAATTCTGAGCAGATCTGACATGAAGAGGTAAGAGAACAACAAACACACAACCACTTCTGCTTTTTAACTTCTCTTAACTTTATTCAGTATTAACAGTATGAAACTGTTCCAGAGTCTGTAGGCAACGCCAGACTAAATGTGTCACTAAAGTGTTTAGTTCATTTAAATATTTGTCTCAAAAACCCTGACATATATCTCCTCTTAGGTGGATCATCAAAATATACCTGAATGTAAAGTAAAAGTTAATAATAATGTATTCTAAATTATCTTAACGTCCCGTCCAAAAATATTCGTAAATAATTGTTCTTATCTTGTTATTCGTAATAAGAAAAATGAAATTTTCATTCACTTCTACAAGGAAATTCATTTTATTGTTAATACCGTTACGTTTGTTGTTGTTGTTGTACCACCCTCCTGCCAGCGGTGGCAGCACTGAGCCCATGAGCTCCAGTATCTACTTTTTAACTTGCATTTTTTTCGGTTCTGGTTTCTTTCTTCTCTGCTGTCGTTTATAGAAAACCTCCAACATGAAACCACGGATCTCTGAAACTCTTTAACTGACGGTTTACGTCTTTAAACGGAACAAACTGGACCTTCAACGGTCGGAGCCACCCGAACTGTTCCTATTAGCTCCACGCTAGCTGCTCGGGCCGGTGTGGACCGGATTTCTGACGGTAAAAGAGGCAGTTGTGGATATTTTCCGGCTACAACTTTGCATTCTACTGCTGTGGTTTGCTTCTGATTTTGCGCTGAGGTTTAATTAAGATAAATCAGCTTTTATTTGCTAATTAGCCGGCGGTGTAATAGCGATAGCTGTTACTGCTCTCTGATTGGCCGAAATGATCTCCATTGTGTTCTGATTGGCTGAAGTTCTATTTGTTGTTTGATGTTTTAAATAATGGTTAATGTGGTTCATTAAAGATGTATACGCGTTAATCTGATTAAAAACCTCAATAAACCACAAAGGAGAGTCGGTGTGTAGCTTTTAACAGTTAGAATATTGCATATTGTGATGATTAATATCGTTTACTTATTAGAAATAAACCTTTTAATTTGAGTGATTTAAAATGACATATTTGAGATCAAGCTGTGGATTTTTGTTTCTTTGCCCTTCAGAGTGTGTTTTTCCAGAGGCCTAGATGAGAGATGATGATGAATGAAGTGAAGGTGGAAGAGGAGGAAGGAGGAGATGAAGGTCAGAGCTGCATTCAGCCTAAACATGCGGGAAAATCACTAACAGCAGCACATCTGGGACACTCTTAGTAGTTTCTACTCTTATTATATTTTGTAGACACTAAGTCAGGAGAAAAGAGCATAACTGGAATAACTGCAGGTGGATGGAAGACGAGGAGCTGATAGGAGGAGAGACAGGTGGGATCTGCTCTGACGCAGCTCCTGATTGGTGGAGCTGCTCAGGTTCCAGGCTGAGAGAGGAAGAGTAGAGCTGCAGGAGGAGAAGAAGGCGGCCATTTTCAACTAATATATTGATAACGGCATTAAGTGAAAGTTCAAGACCAATAAACTTTAATTAAACAGAAACATTAAACTGGAAGACATTTAAAAATTCAAAGTAAAATGCAGCAACCGAAAATAAAACGGAAATAAAAACCACACAACCAAAAACAGATTATAACAGAAAACGAAATTTTTCTTCAAAAAATATGAAGTTAAGATGTTAGTGTTACAATCGGCTCTCTGTTCAGAACATTTTAAAAAGATGAATGATAGAAATGTGAAAGTCCAGAAAGAACCTTCAGTGTTGATCAGAACCAGATCAGAACCTGGTCCAGTTCGGTTCAGAGATGATCAGAACTTCTGATCTGGACCGTAAAAGTTCTGATCGGGTTCTGGTCCTGATCACATTCTGATGGTGTTCCAATTGGGTTCTGATCGGGTTCTGGTTCCCTCAGGCCCGCCGATGCCTCCTGACCGCCAGAGTTTCTGCATTACTCCAGAACCGGCCTCGGACCAACCCAAACCCAAACGGCGCCACCGCTGCTCGCTGTGCGGCCGGGAATTTGCCGGCCCGGCCCGTTTGGCGGACCACGTTGCCACACACTACGGCTACAAGCCGCACAGCTGCTCCATCTGCGGGAAGCGCTTCACCAAGAAGGTGAATGTGTTGGTGCACCAGCGGGTCCACACTGGGGAGAAGCCGTACTCCTGCCCCGACTGCGGCGTCAGCTACGCCCAGCGCGGCTGCCTGCGCCGCCACCTCCTCATCCACTCCCCAGAGAAACCCTTCAGCTGCTCCCTGTGTGGGCGGGGCTTCGTCCAGCGCCGCTACCTGGTCCAGCACGAGCGCACCCACACCGGGGAGAAACCGTTCTCCTGCTCGCTGTGCCCCAAACGCTTTGCCTCCCGCAGTGGCCTCTCTGACCACCTGAAGACCCACCAAGAGCAGAAGCAGCATTCCTGCTCACTCTGCGGGAAAACCTTCTCCTCCGCGTCGTCGTTCCGGGATCATGTGAGGAACCACACGGGACGCAAACTCCACCCCTGCTCGCTGTGTGGGAGGAGCTTCAACCGGCCGAGTCTCCTGAAGAAACACCTGCAAAAACACGCTGATGGAACCCTGGAGAAGGTCAGAGGTCAATTAGTGGAAATGAACTAATGGTAAAGTGTGAACCATTCCACTAAAGCACTGTACCAATATATCACTATTGAACACCAATGCTGTACTGCTAACGTAAATATTAATTTTGCTTATGCTAATGCATTACATCAACATGGTGTTTAGTATGTCTACAGGTGTGAACGTCCAGTCTGTCATTCCTCTCCGACCTGTTGAGTTTTGCCAACTCTGTTGCTAACTAGCCACAGTAGTGCTTCACTCAGAAAGCATCAGGAGATTTTAGACCGTTCACTGTGGACCTACTGCGATGCATTATGGGTAGAGAATGACATCATTTGCTGCGTCAGTGAAGAATGTGGGAAGAGGAACTAGAGTTGATATGTAATCATACTTCAAAATAAGAGCATGCATGAATATAAACTACTACTTTGAATTCCTAATCGCCAATAACCAAAAACTGAACTCAGATGTCAAACTTTATTTAAATGAAAGGTTCCCTCATAGCCATGGAAATTAGCTCCTTCGAATTTATCTAGAAAAATTGAGTAAGAGAAGCTAAGTGTGCCAAAGTTAGCAAACGTGCTAAAGTGCTAAGCTAAAACTTCTCTGATCCTGCAGGAAGAAGCTGCTTTCCGATGCTTCCTGTGTCAAGAGCATTTCTCCTCTGTCAAAGAGGCGAAGGATCATGAGCGGCGGCACCACGCCGCGACCCGGTTCTCCTGCGACATCTGCAGCCGCTCGTTCACTCGCGCGTCCCGGCTGAAGGACCACCTGCGCTCCCACACCGGGGAGCGGCCGTTCCAGTGCGACGTCTGCAAGACGCGTTTCACCGTGCTGAGAGCGCTCAGGAAGCACCAGGAGATCCACAGCCAGCCGGACCGCTGGGCCGTCACTGCGCCGCCCGGCGGTCCGGATTCGCCAGAACCGGTGAGGAGAGAGAAACTGGAGGGTTTCTCCAGCTGATTTAAAGGGGCAGTATTATGTGCTTTCTATTTTATAGCACAATCAGGTCTGTTACCTTCAGTTGTTATGAAAATGCTGAATGTATTAAATATGACCAAAAAAAAGTTATTCCTAATTTAATGACTTGAAACTGCACCTCTGTCTCTTTAAGAAGCTCCTCCTCTTCCTGAAGCTCCGCCTCCAGGAAGTAATCTCAACATGGCTCCTCTGTTAACGCTTTAACGTTTCTACTGGAGAAGTGGCTCCTATAATGAGCTCAGCAGCTGTTTGCTAATTGCTGCTGGCTAGTTTGAAGGTTAGTCTGAGTTGGGGAGGAGCTGCACCTGGGAGGCGGGGCTAGGTCCACCCAGGCGTTTTTCACAGCTGAATGGTTGCCATGGAGATTAAAGTATTTCTGAAACATGGAAGAATCAAAGCAACACTGCAGGGAATAATAATTTGATTTTACATGATACTGGCCCTTTAAAAGTTACAAACATGGACCAGAACAGCTCCTATGAATTTGGATCTTAGCCCTCCTGCTGGTTCTGGTTGAAACATTTTACCCTCTGTTGGTTCTAGAACCCAGACGAGCTTCAGGACGGAACCAGCGCCGCCCTGCGGGTGGAGAGCCGCAGCGACGAGTCGCTGCCTTCACTGACTGGTGAGAAAATCAGAACTTTGGCTTCAGGGAGCTTCTGGGTCCAGAAGTCTGCTGGTTCTGTTGGGTTTATGACTCTTCCTCTCTGTGTTTTTGGTTCTGCAGACCCGATCCCTGCCAGGACAGAGTCAGAGAAGAACCTGGAGGCCCAGGAGGTTTCAGAAAACTTGCGGCCGGAACCACCGGGTCCGCCGGGCCCAGAAACCCTGACGACCTGCAGGAGTCCAGCTGCGAGGAAGAAGAGGAACCACAGCTGCAACATCTGTTCCAAGAGCTTCCTGAAGCCCTGCCTGCTACGGGAACACATGAGGGTCCATATCAGGGAGGGCCGGCTGCCGGACCCGGCCGACAAGGTGATCAGAACCATCAGAACTGTCCGGGTTGACTGTTTCTGTCTGATCCACCTTTCAGTTGTTCGTCTTTGACCTCCAAATGGTTTGACGGAAGAACAATGAGCCAAAACATCATCAGTTCTCAAGGAATTCTGTTGATCTACGGAGAGAAATTGGTTCCAAAATTATTGAAAGAGAAGAAAATGTTTAAAAAATTACCATTTGAAAAAATGCATGTCTATCAAAAAATAAATTTTGAGAGTAAATTATGACATGTTTGCAATAGTTTAACCTAAAATTTTCAGATGTGATTTTCAAGTTTTATAAATAGTATTGTTTTCAAATCATATTTTACATGTTTTGTTCGGGGGGTGGGACTTCCTCTGATGCGTGGCAGGAAGGCGCGTTCCTATCGGTTAGTGTGGAGAAAAGTGAGAGTGTCTCAAACAAAATCAGAAAAACAGCAAACTGCATAAATGTGGGTTATGATTTTTAGTATTGGGCCAGATTTCTCTCCGTACTGATCTGAGTGGAGTTGGAGGGACAGCAGCTGCTTTGGGTTCCATGTTGCTGACCGACCCGGGTTCTTTACCGACCCGGGTTCTTTACCGACCCGGATTCTGGACCGACCCGGGTTCTTTACCGACCCGGGTTCTGGACTGACCCGGGTTCTTTACCGACCCGGGTTCTGGACTGACCCGGGTTCTCTTCCAGGTGTTCTGGCTCCATATGCGGACCGGCGGCCAGAAGAAGAAAACTGTGATGATGATGAAGGAGGATGAAGGTGTGGAGGACGAGGTGAGGAACCAGTTTACTCACCAGTCTCCAACTGGTTTAAGGTTCTGGTTGAGCCTGAAACTTCTCCTCCTGTTTCCCTCCAGCGCCGACCCAGTGACCCCTCCACCTCTGACCCCACCCTCGTCCCTGATGCCGGTAACCATGGCGACCAGGGTGGGAACCAAAGCGAGCAGCAGGAGGAAGAGGATGTCAGTGGTTTGATCAACTCTGATGGAGAGGAAGAGCGCTGGGAACCGGAGCGCTGCGGTACGACCACGGTTCTGACCCGGTTCACATGGTTCTGCCTGAGGCCCAGATTTCCCAGTAGACTGGTAAAGTGGGCTGGGTCGGTTCTGATCCGGTCCGTTTGTTCATTAGCTCTGAGGTTCCAGCTGCATCAGATAAATACATACGGCACAAGATCAGGGCCAAAATTAAGACGATTCTCCTCCCAGCTGTGGCTACTTCCTCGTAGCAGGAGGCTACCTCCACTCTGATGTTCCCAATCTGATTGATAGAGCAGCACGGCTAACTGAGTGGAAAATCAGGAGACTACTAGTTAGCATTAGCTTTGGAGGAGCTAGTGACTAGCAAGGCTACCCTGGTCACCCACTGGGTTGCCAACTTCATCTGCTGGCTATTAGCCACGATAGGCTAGCATTAGCTTTGTGTAAGCTGCTGTTAGCCTTCTATAGGTTAATTTTAGAACTGATGGGCTGTCGTTAAAGAATGAATTGAATCAGGACTGGATCAGAACATTACCAGAGGTCAGAGGTCACTGAAATCATTCTGAAATGCGTCAGCAGAGCTTCTTGTGCTGCTGAACCACCTGACAGCGGCATGTTGAACCCATGCAGCTCCTGACCGACCCTTCGTGTTTCCAGCAGGTCCAAAGATCCGCTCTGACCCGCCGGCAGACGGCCGCTCCACGGGAAAATCCAAGACCTGCTGCCCTGTGTGCGGCCGCGACTGCTTCAAGGCGTCGGCGCTGCAGAAGCACCTGCGCATCCACTCTGGCGAGCGGCCCTTCCAGTGCCCCACCTGCAGGAAGAGCTTCGTGCAGCACGTCCACATGACAGAGCACCAGCGCATCCACACCGGCGAGAAGCCCTTCACCTGCACCGTCTGCAGCAAGAGCTTCACCTTCTCCAGCGCCCTGCGCCGCCACCAGCGCGTCCACACCGACGCCCGGCCCTTCCGCTGCGCCGTCTGCCCCAAGACCTTCAAGCAGCTGTGCGTCCTGAAGAACCACCAGCTGACGCACTCGGGCGTCCGCTACCAATGCCCGCTGTGCAGCAAGAGCTTCAGCCGCGCGCTGGAGCTCACCTACCACATCGACGTGCACTCCGACGCGCAACCCTACCACTGCAGCGTCTGTAGGAAGAACCTGAGCGGCGCCCGCATCTTCAGGAAGCACATGAGGAAGCACGAATCCGACGAGCCGCAGCTCGACCCGGCGGCGGCAGAGTCGACGAAAAAACAATGAAGGTCACCTCAGAATCACGTGACCCGAGAGATTCACTGCTAAACTTCCTACAGGAGCTCAGAAGGGCCAAACAAAGACTCCAGCCAGCAATCGGATGCATCGATGCCTTTCTCAAGGGCCCGGTGAGAGCCGGACCAAGACGTTCAACACGAAATAATCAGATTCTCCACAATAAAAATTTAATCCAAACGAAAGTTTCTGAATCTCATTTATCCACAGAGGTCAGAGGTCGTTTAGATACCAATAACTCCCAGATCAGGGCATAAAAGTTCTTCCCTGCTGGTTCCACCAAACCCAATATGGTCCAGCCTGGTTCTGTTCTGTTGAGGCATCCACCAGGTGGCGCAGTGCTACTATTACTATTTCCAGTCTCCTGAAGGTGGAAACTTTTTCTCCCAGTTGGACCCAAATCTGGTTCCCCAAGGCTGCATCATTTCTTTGATCCAACTCCAGTCCGTCTGCCTAGTCAAAGTCTGGTTTGGTTGATGAGGTGTGACCTCCAGACCTCAATCTGGGTTCGGTTTAAATGTGAACGCCAAGTGGACCAGAGACCGCTCCAAAAGCAGGAAGTGGACTACAGCGCAGGGCATTCTGGGTAAATCCAACCAGCAGCATAAATGTCTCCTGGTCTTTAGCCAAAAACTAAAGAGAAATCCTCCATCTGCTAAAATCCTCCATCTTGTTTCCACCTGGTGAAGAAGGAAGTTGCTCTCAGTGTCTTCAGAGGTTTTTGTGTCGTTTCCTTCAGTGGTTCTTGGTGCAGCGCCCAGCAGATGATGGAGTTCTGGTTCCAGTAGAACCGGGTTGACCAGACCATCTAAAATTATTATTAATGTTCCCAAAATGACGTCAGATGGCGGCTGATTTCAGATCTGGTAACGTTTGCTTGGATCTCCCAGAGTTAACCTCCAGGCAGAAAAGCATCTAAAGTTTCTGAAATGTTTAGTTTCTCACCAAGCTTCACTAGTTTCTGTTCCTTCCAGACTAGAAACTCATTTTTAAACCCAAATGTGATGAATATTAGAAAAAACAACATGGAAGGACTGCAATGGAAACCATCACCAGGCTGAGTTCAGATTCACTGAGAAGAGATTCCGTCCTGATGGAAACAGGAACTGATGAGGGCAGAAGTTGGTCGGGATTTCCTCCAGCAGGGGGCGCCAGCAGAGATGTTTCGGTTCATTAAATGATCCGTTTTCACAGTAACTCTGTGGTTCGGGTTTGTTTCCAGAAGAAGTCAGAACCTCCTGATGGGAGCTGAAGCACGGCTCTGATCCAATCAGAGAGTCGATAGAAAACCAGTATCTACCTCCTAACGCCGGAGACGAACCTGCAGCTCCGCCAGATGGGCGGGGTTAACGCGGCTAAGCCCCGCTCCCCCGCCGGATAAAGACCTGCGGCTGATCCCCAGTTCCAGTTCAGGTTCTGCTCCTCCAGAGACCCCATCCTGCCAGCATGCTGCCCCCGCTGACGCTGAGCCTCCCCCGCAGCCCGGAGGCCAACACCACGGCGGCCGTGGACTGGACCCAGGTGAGTCCCGTTGATTTCATCAGGAGATTTAATCATATCGGTCCGTTTCACTCCCTCATTCAATCACTTCTGCTCTAAAAGCTGCAAAATAATCTGGAAAAAGGAGCAAAAACGCTCATTATTTTAGTTGCATCTGGAAAAAGGAAGTTTTTCCATTTGATTTTTGGAACATAAAATTTAAATTTTTGAAAATTCAGTAATTTTATTTCCTTAAATTGTGGATTTTTTTTTCATATTGTTCTGTCATTTGTGTAGAAACTCTATAAACATGTAATGAACTGTTTCTTTTCATCTTTTCGTTTATTTTAGTAGTTTTAACGCCGTGGGGCGTGTGGGTTATTATTCCCTCCGCGCAGACTGACAGGCTCTGATGACGTTATCAGGATTCCCAGGGAATCGAACCGGGACCGCTGGTTAGCAACTTAACTATAAAGTTAGCGATGACAGTAGTTTGTGAGCTAGCTATAGTTTAGTTATCGAATTAAATATGTAACTAAACGTTTAGCTCACTTAACATTTAATTTATTTAGCTCTATTTATATCACGCTCTATTTATCTATAAATTTATATTTACCTTGCCAATTTTATATTTATGTTAATATTTGTGTGAGATGAACTGTTTGGGAGGTGAAGAGAAGCTCCATATTTATCAGCATCAGCATCGGTTCTGGTAGGTTCTGGTCGGCTGCATAGGCGTAAATCCCGGGAGTTTGGGGGACGGGGGGGGGGTCCGGACCCCCCAAATCTTGGAAAAGTCTAGAGTTGTCCCCCCCAAAGAAATCATGAAAGAAACCCTTGTATTTAAACAATATTAATATAAAAAGGCAATAGAAACAAAGAACGAAGTAAATCTGCCATTCATCTAAGAAAAAAACAAGAATTAATTTTTAGGTCCCCCCACTATTGTTAGAACAATGGTTCAGTCCAAAGTGTAGGAGGAGCAACAGCTGCTGAACGGTACAGGCTCCGTTAGATCCGCTAAGGGAGGAGCTAGCTGTTAGCTGTGGCTCTGCAGCATTAACAAAAAACCCTCCAGTAAGTAAAGACTTAAAGCAAAAGACATGTAACACGTTTTATTTACTTTCACTGCTCAATAGAGTGAAACACGTTAATAAAAATCTGTCCGCAGTTTGTTATTTCATTACTTTGGATGAATCGTGATAAAATGCCTCCTTATGCGTTGGAAATCAAAGCTAGCTAAACTGCTACATTGCTTTCATAGACTTAGCTCCTTTTTCTGTCGAAGGTAGCCAATATTTCAATCACATTTAGCTCTCTAACTCTTTAATAAGAAGAGTTTGAAACGGGAGCGTTAGCATTAGCCGACAGCTCAGTATGGGAGCCGAGAGCAGAGGGGCGACTGCAGCTGGCAGTAAAAATAATAAAGTATGACTTTATTTCTTACCATCTTCAACGTAGAGCCTTTAAAACCACAAAATAAAACCTGAATATTTTTCTAGAAAACTGGTGCTGACCTTTATGTTTAAGTTATGATGCTTCCCAGATATTCAATTTCCACATATTTATAGGTTTTAACATGAATTCCCCCTGCCCCCCCAAAAAAAATTAAGGTTCAAAGCAACTTAAGTTATAATTTAAATAACACATGATTTGTATCAACAAAAACTGCAATAAATCAATATTTATGAGCACATTTATTAAGTGTAGTTACTTATTAAAACTTTTTCATTTACAGCCTTAAGTTTTTGTAAAGGTGTAGCAGAGATTAGATCTGTGACTCTGAACCAAACTCATATCTAAGCAACATTTGAATCTTAGTTTGACTTCTATGGGTCTCAACAGGTTGTTCACTGAGAAAAACACTTTTGTTATTCATTGCTACTTACTAGTCATTTTTGGTGGTGCAGCTTGAACAAAAATTTAAACCACATTTGACTGTAACTTTGCCGACCCCCCCAAAATTGCTCTTAACATTTTCCCTGTTTATGGTCCCCCCCCCCAATAATGAGGTGGGATTTACACCCTTGGTCGGCTGTGGTCCGTTCTGCTCGGTTCTGGTCGGGTTGCAGCGGCGGGTTGAACGTGTTGTTTCCCCCTGCAGGTGTACGAAGCCGTCCGGTGGATCCAGCTCATCATGGCCTCGTTCAGGTTGGTTCCGGCTTCCTCATCCTCCTCGGTGGTTTCATTCTCTGTTCAGTTTAAAATGACATTTATTTGTTTCTGCATTGACATTTCAGAAAGGAGGAGATTTTAGGCTAAAACTGAGGAAAATATTGCTTTGAAAACCCCAGCTAATTTTAGTTCTGGACTTCTTGATCCGGTTCTGGTTCTGGTTTGTCAAGGTGACGTTTCCATGGCGATGAACACAGTTTAGATGAAATGCCACCTTGGTGCAGAGGTAGATGAGAAGCAAAGGTCTTTAACAGATTTTTAAATAAAACAACTTTATTTTTGTTTTTATATTTCATACATTTTAATTAAAGATTTAAAGTTTATAGTAAATTACTTTAAAAAGCACAAAATGTGTAACCTACTGACAAAAAAACAAAGTTCCTCTTTGTGCAGATAGCTGTTAGTTTAGTTTATCTTGGTTTCATTTAATTTAGCTTAGCTTGATTTGCCTTTGTTTAGCTAAAGCTAGCTTAGCTTAGCTTGTTTTTACCTTAGAAAATATTTTGAAAGAATCTTAAAATCTTAGCTAATTTCTTAGACATTTATTTCAGCTTTGCTTTGAGTTGTTTCTCCTTAAATTGTACATTTTATGCATGAAAACAGGAAAACCTTCTACAACTGGCCTTTTAAATGACATTTACATTTTACAACTATTTATTGGCTATTTACTAGCAAATTTGGCCAAAATTATTCAGGAATGATTTTATTGTAGAATGTGTTTGTGTTTTTAATGCTCTGAATAATAATTCAGACAGTTTTTAAACATTTTCTCTGAATATTTGCAGCATTGTTGGTTCCGGCTCCATCATCTCCCTGATTATTCCCAGACTCGGTCAGACGCCCGAGGTCAGTCGCATCATATGGGTGCGTCCAGCTGTCCCCTGGGGTCAGAGGTCAGGTGTCTGACTGCTGCTGTCCTGTTTGCAGCTGCAGCCTCTGTTCCAGCTGAGCGTGGCCGACCTGCTGCTCGCCACCTGCTGGCTGATCGGCGCCATCCTCTACTCTCAGCGCTGCGACCACCTGAGCGCGCTCTGCTACAACCTGCACACCGTGGAGCAGGTAACGGCCGCGCCGCCGCTCTGGGGGAGTCTGACGGGCTTTCTGGGGAAGTTTGAGGGATTTCCATGAGTTTTATCAGGAAGTGGCTCCTCTTTCCTCCTCAAAGCCTTCACTGTTAGAAAATCTCAGCTTCCTCAAACAGCAGAGAGAAACCGCAGCCTGGACACGAACAGCATCAGAACCAGCTGCTGTTTCCCACAGAAACTCACGGCTGGACTCAGTCTGGGACACAAACACTGACACAGAAATATTTCAGTGGATTCAACTCAAAAATTGTGTTTGGTTTCAATGAAAGTTGAAGAAAAAACCTTCATGGTTTCTAATTTTATCTGTGAATAAAACATGGAAACGTGCAAAGGAACCAAACAAGTTTAAAATCAGTTGAATTCAGTTTATTTCTTTGGTGCCAATTCACAACATCTTTCATAGAGAGAAAACAACTCAGAAATCATAAAGTTAAATTAAGGTTATTACTTTGTGTTATTATTGTGATAATGAAAAAAAATAAGATAAAAAAATAACTATATCACTTATTTTTTAGGTAACTGAACTACAAACATGATTATTGTTCTTGGAAAAACACATAAAACAGGATCCTTCAAGACTCCACTTACATAAAAATAAAAAGTGTGATTCATATCACTAAACTAAGATGAAATAAAAGTAAAAATAACATTTATTTATTATTTATCAGCAACTGAAATTTATCCTAACAGTAGATCAAAGTTGATCATTTATAACAAAATAAATGATAAATGGTACAACAGATAATCATCTCTAAGTTGAAATAACAGCAAATAAATCAAATCGGAGAGCAGTAGGAGAAAGTAGCAGAATGAGAAAAGGTCAGTTCAACCAGGTGTAAAAATAAAGTTCAAAGTGGATCAAATTGATTCAGATTCAGTTTGTGAGAACCTAGAGGCTGGAGAACATGCTGTTTTTCTCATATAAAAGCATAAACATTCTGTTTTCAGCTTTAAGAAGTTCCTCTGAAAGTAAAGTTTAGTGTCTTCTGTTTTCAGGTTTTATTTTTGACACCAGGAGCTGAACTGGAAGCTGCTGTCTGGGGGTTTTCCCACCGCAGCAGCAGGTTTGAGTTTTACATCTGGCTTAAACCCAGCTGATAAATCCTCTGAGGTCAATAGTCGGTCACAAAGACAACGTGGGTAGATCACATGACATGAAAAACACGTCAGCCCGTCATTTATCACGTCATTTTAAAATAAAATACCCGTCACTTAATTGATGTACAGGTTGGCCTTACCAGTTGGTGGCGGTAATGGTCCCTTTACTTGTTTGCCAACCGCCATT